ATCCATCCTCTGCCCGTCCCACGCTCGTCCTCTTCGTCCCTCCCCACGGCCCCTGTCCGTCTTCTGCCCGTCCCCCGCCCGCCTCTCCGACCGCTCCGCTTTCGGGCCTCCACCCAGTGTCACCGGTAGACACCGGCAGCTGCACGCGCCGGTTCCTCCTGTCTCGTAGCACCACCGCCTTTTTCCAGCATCTTTCACTTTCACTCTTTTAACTTTATTAGCAAGGAACTTTTTAAACTGGGTTTGATTCAGAGGGTTTCGCCTTGAAAACAAACTAAAAAAGTGCAAAGAAAACTCAATAAGTCATTGTGATTTACTAACACTGTAAAAAGTGATAAAGTTTTCATTTTATGCTCATCTTTTAAGAAACATCCGTGGCTGAATTAATAGAAAGTTTCCATTTAAAATATTTGTGTGCAGTGTAATGAAGTGCAGGAGAACTTTTGCATCGCTACCTAAATAAATTCGATTAAGACGCATTTACTCTCTCCCTCGATTTCGTATAATAGAAAAATCAATTCAGTGAAAACCATTTTTTAGCTGTGTTAATTGAACTTTTGAAAATATATTAATTGTGTTGTAAAACCAAAGATGAATTGGACAAAGAAATGTCTGCGAAGGGTCTGTCAAAGAGAAATATTAAGGTTCTTGGCGACTTCTTTTGTATCTTAACAGAAACAAATCAAAAGAAATAATTTATGGATTGTAAAAGTCGTGCCGCGTCCTACGTAGAATTTCTTTAGCTTCGAATGACCGAAATGGAGACCGAAATGAGATGGAAATAAAGTCGAGTTGTTACAATACAGGTTGAAGTTTTTCAAGGACTGTTTGGATTCATACGTAGTATATGTGATGAGGAAGTCTCATAGAAGAGGACATATGAAATAAAATTCTAGTTAATTAATAAGTTAATGGTTTTCACAAAACTTCCTACTTTTTCTGCATTCTTTCTTTTTCCATTTCTCCTTTTCTCTTTGCATTTACTTCCTTCCTTCCGTTTCCTTTTGTAGTGAGTCCCTTTTTATTGTCTATGGTAATCTTTCACTACAATATTTTCATTTTTTTCAATGACAACGCCTTTCTTCCCAAAACTTATAACGTTTATTCTCAATTAATATTGTAATTATAATTAAACTTAAATGGTTTTCTTTTTTCAGTCATGTCATTTCATTCAATGAAACGGTACTCTTAAAAAAAGTGTTATTGTATTTAAAGCATTTGTCCGCTAAAATTGAAACCTAGCCTATTATTTGCACCTGTATAAATTGTAACAAAAATGTCAAGAATGAAATCAAAGTTTGCAATGTCTCATGTACTAAGATGTTTTTGAGCAGCAGCTCTCATCTGTCAGAAGAAATGCTGAAGGACGGACACAGCTTCAGGAGGTGACTAGCGACGAGAGACAGACTGAGCAAGAGACTGACAAGAAAGTGACTTTGGGAGGGTGGAAGGACACACGAGTGCAGGTAGACATTCTTCATACTGCATTGGATAACGGAAAGACCTGTGACACCGACGTGCGATTGGACTTAGCGTTCATTTTCAACGAATCACAGCATCACAAAAGTATAATATAAGAGCCCTGCGATGTGAAAATTGGTTTTTCATGTGTGTATAAAAAATGGACAATATTTTTTAGTTTCCTGTACTGTAAGAATTTATTTCCTTAGCAATAGGTATTAGAGTTGTGCATTAGGCTTGTTTTAAAAATATTAATATTGTGATTTTACGAGTAAATATGTTTACACACACTAAATGCTGCTTTTCATGTAATAGAATACATTATTTTCTTAATTTAATATTTTTAATACATATCAATAAACACCATTACTTTCCTCGGTGCTTGGATAGCTAGAATAGTCTATTTTACTGCGGAGTCGAAAGCACGAAAATCATGCGCGAAACAGGAAACTGATAATTACAGAATATTAAATAAAAAAAGTTCATTTCAAAATGCACCTGCAGCAACAGATTTATGTCGAACGCGAAAGTACTTCTTGGGGGTCAACGACCGAATTTATGCATTTTGTCTGGTTAAAGGGAGTAATGAATTACAGGTTCTTGGCGAGTTGCAGGTCTTTAAATGTTCTTTTTATGAGAGCATTATATATGACAAGAAAATTAATGTTTCAGTACACAGTTCCTAAAAGTTTCTTAAATCCCAAAGAACCTATTAATGATTAATAAGAGAAAATCTACATTTATCGACAAATACACACAATTGAATACTAATATTTACTCTAGAAATAGTAAATATTTTGGATTGAGAGTTAGAATTACTTAAGGGGTTCTTAACGTTGTAAAATTACATCTCCTGGAGATACAAAATGGAAAGGAGATGTAATTGAACTGCTATTCTCAGTTTAACTTGCCGCTTTCAAAGTTGATTACATTTGAGTTAAATTAAAAGTTGTTTCTGAATGAATGAACAAAATTTTATTTTTTATTTCTGTTCATGTAAGGGTGCTGTTATGGAATCTCAATTTAATTTATGCAAGTCTCAGCAGTATATTGAAGCATTAGTTAGTAACAATTCGAGGGAAAATATTCGTATTAAGTTATACATTTTTGAAGGAAAATGCCAGTTAAATGAAACTTCCTCCATCTGAGAATTTCAAGTTTATATATATGTATATATATTTATATATATATATATATATATAGAAATTTTTTATTTTGGTAAGTAGGTTTTTGCAGTCTGGTGGCGGAAATCGTTAGTTACATACATATCAGTTTTAAAGATCTATTTATTCAATATAACCAAAACTTTTATAATGTTAATGATGATGCTAATATAATAATAATAATAATAATAATAATAATAATAATAATAACAACAATAACAACAGGTGGCGCACCCAAGAGCCAATGATATCCGAAAAGCCTACTAAAAATTATGGTTTGGACTAATTTTCTCTTTCTTGATACACTGAATGACTTCGTTAACTAAGGTCATTGAGTACATCAGTTGTTAATGACATAAATATTACCAATGATAGAATAAACAAAACTTCATTTTATATTCAGCATTAATTAAAAATTCTTTATAAGAAAACCTGAAGTCTGCAGGGAACACTCTCTCTGTCACACACATAAACACAGAGGAAATTCGCGGGTGCGCTATCTGAGCGAAGGCGTGCGCGCGGTGCGCCGTGGTGTTGCAGGGCGGCATGTGGGGCGAGACGCTGTCGCTGCGCGCGGGGCGGCGCCACCGGCTGCGCCTGGCGCTGGCGGGCGGCGGCGAGGGCTGCGCCGTGCGCGTCTGGGCCGAGCGCCACGCGCTGCTGCTCATCGAGCTGGACGGCGCGCCCCTGCAGCCGCGCGAGGTCGCCTCCCTCACGCTCTCGCCAGGTCAGGCGCCACCGCCACCACACCCTCTCTTTCTCTTTCTTTTCTTTGTCTTTCCTTTCCTGCCTTCCCTCTTTCTTTCCTTTCCTTCTTTCTTTCCTTCTTTCTCTTTTTCTTTCTTTCTTTTCTTCTTTCTCTTTTCTTTCTTTCTTTCCTTCTCTTTCTTTTCTTCTCTTTCTTTCCTTCTCTTTCTTTCCTTTCTTCTCTTTCTTTCATTTCCTTCCTTCTTTCTTTCTGTCCGTATTTCTCCCTTTCGTTCCTTTCTTTCCTTCTTTGCTTCTTTCTTTATCTTTCTTACTTTCTTTCCCGTCCTTCCTCTCTCTTTCCTTTTTCTTTGTTTTCTTTCTTTCTGTTTCATTTCTTTCGTTTTATTTCTTTTCCTTTCCTTTCCATCTTTCACTCATTATTTTTACTTTATGTCTTTCTTTCGCCTTTGGTTATTCATTTTCTATTTCATTATCTGTCTTCTTTTCACCTACTCATATCCCATTTCCCCTTTCAATCTTTTTCTTTTCTCTATTCTAAGAATGCCTTCTTTGTATTTCTACCTTCATTTTCTCTCAAATTTCTAACGATTTTTTTTCTTTTTATATATCCGCTTATTGCTGTTACTGTTTTTCTCGTAATCTCTTGTTTCCATCTTTTGTACTTTTACAGTATTTTTTTCTATTACATGTCATATTTTCTACCTCTTTTTGTTCTATTTTTAGATTCCCGTAGCTTTTCCTTCTTCTTTTGAACGTTCACTGCCTCATACCTGAAAATTGTTTTGCGTATGTGTTCATATATTCCTTATTTTCATTCGCGCAGTCGTATTGCCTCACTTGTTAAGTAATGCGTCTACTTTTGCATCAATTTATTTTTTAATTAATTCGTTGTTGCTAAGTGCCTTTACATGTGTCTGTTTATTGTACGTATTTTTATTCACATCATAAAATTCCCGCACACTTCCTCTCTAAGTGGATTGAACTTGAGAGCCTATGTAATTTGTCATAGTATTTCGGTGTACATGTAATGATATGGTAATGTATTCGTGTTTTTATATTTGCCGAAGCACTTTCACTGCATTTCTCATGTACAAACGAATGTTGACGTTCTTTCGAAGTTGTTTATATGATTCCTATGATAGATCCATTTCTTGTATCTACGCGTTAGCATGTGTTGTC